TTCTGGCATACATATGAATATTTAGTGAATGCAAACTTCTTACTGAAAGGTTCTGTTTTAATATTAATATCTGTTTGACTATGAATCCAGTTCGGTAATCGAGGTCGCTGTTTTTGTAGTTTCCGTTTCGCAGTTGTCTGCCTCTTTAAGAGTGCGTGTAATTCAACGTTCAAGATTTTATTTGTCACATCCGCGGTTGTGCTGGTACAATTTGCAGTGCAGTGAAAATCTGGCTCGCTCTTGTGACTCTACAAAAACAAGAGCATCGATAAATAAATGAAAAGAGGGGGAGGGGAACCAAGGTCATATAGGCAATAAATAAAATGCTATGTTTAAAATTCTATTCAAAAACGGTGTGCAAAATAGCATGACATACAGTGAGCACTGCAGTAGGCAGTGTGCAATTGGTGCAGTGAGAGACATAAATAATTAACAGACAATTATAAACAAGTCAGTGACCATGTCCGGGCTGAGAAGCCTGTTAGCCTGGAGATAGCAGCTGCTCTTGAGACTCTGGCTACAGAGGGGTTGCCTGAATTCAGCTGGCTAAACAGGCACTAACTGGGATCAGGAGAATCCTTGAAGGATTTTTTTTAGCTCTGTCCTGCGATAACTGTAGATGTATAAATGTATTGATTTTAATATTGTAATAATGATGAGTAAACACCGGAGTAAGCATCACTATTGAAGGACACGCATGGCCCTCTAAAGATGGTCCCATTTGGGTCTGTTTTATTTTTCTGAAATGCGAGAAGTGCTCGCTAAGGTTTTAACTTGGAAAGGAACCAAGAGACTCTTCAGTTCTGACTTGCTAGAAGGTCACTCTGACTTTGGGGGGAAGAGGAACGTCCTTGGGGAGAGCTATTGGCAGTTTCCCGGAGGAGTGGGACTTACTGAGGGACGACCCAAGACCATCCATCACCCTGCAAGCCGCGAATAAGTCCCACTCAAGCCTGACGATGACAAACGGGAGGAGTTTGGGGACGGGCTGGACCGCACTAGCAGCCACACCGTGGATATGCTGAAGGGTTGGGCCGTGAAACTAGGAAGACATTTTGGAAGGAAGTTATGACTGGTGATGACACCCCCAGGCCAGAAGGGGGAGACATAGAAATTGTAGGTCTTCAGAATAATCGTAATGCAGGAATTACATCAACTGCTGGGAAGAAGTCCATTTTATCATGCTGGTAGCCTGCTGCGTTCCAGAGCACCTTATCCCAGGGTCAGAACTTTCTTTCACCACTGCTAAATAAAAACAGAAAAGCTCATTAATGATATTGACCAATTCCCTGCCAAAGTGCAATACATTTAAAAAGTGGATTTTCCAGTTATAACGAAATAGCAACTCAGTACATATACAGGTACAGTCGTCCCTCGCCATTTCGCGCTTCGACTTTCGCGGCTTCACTCTATCGCGGTTTTTTCAAATACATTTATTCATTAAAAAGTTGATAGACAGTGAAAATGATACAGCGCGCGCTCGGTTGTCTGAGTCAATTATACAACTCTGTATTACAATTAAAATTAAAATTACTGTACGTATGGACTGTAGGCCTATGTATTCGAGCACGATAAAAGAGGGACGACTGTATTTACATATACATCAATAAGAATACTGCAGATACTTTTGTCATTCATTTTGTTCCATTAAATTAATACAATGTACACTGAATTATGACCTTAACGCATAAAGGCTACTTATTTAATTCAAAGCTGAACATCAATAATTAATATTATAATATAATTAATTAGAGACATTGGTGGCTTGTCATGGCTTGAGCATCAATTATTCACCATAATACGTTCAGACAAAAGGGAAATTTAATTTGTTTCACTACTTGGCTTCTTGTCATTCGTTTTCTGTGACATCTTGAAGCGTACGTATAGAGGTCATCGCGTGACTTTTGAGGACTGGCAAATATCTGCATGGATCCAATAGTCTTCGGAATTGCATTATTCAGGGACAAATGATACCACCATTTAATCAAATATTTGAATGGAAAATAGATTGTAATTTAAAACCTTGCGACCTTGTTTTGGAAATTGCTTCAGTTCTTCGTCCACTGCGTGAAAGCCTACAAGTTTTAGGAAAATGAAAGATTTCGACGGACTAATATGCTACTTTACGCAATCATGCTTTCACATAGAGTACGTCTGATAACAGATACGGAAGGGCTAAAGCAGTTTCTAAAAGCGATTTCTAACGTTCCTTTTAGAAACCTAATTACCTATATTTTTCCATGAAATTTTTTTTTACCGTAATTGATGGTGTCATTCATCGGTGACTTATTTAAAATTTTGAATCAGTTGCTATGATTCCGGTGCTTATCTTCCGGCAGAAACCCCATTTCACCTCCTCCTTCACCTCTCTCCGGTATCCTCTACAGTCCCTTCTGTTCAGTAGATTTTATTCTCCTCTCTTTCCTCAAGGCTTCCCCTGTTATAAATAAAGCTTACGGTAGGTCACCACCGTTCTCCATCTTCCTGGCATCTAAACACTTGACTAATGACCTTTATCTCCTGATAAATATGCCAACGCGGCACCCAGTGACAGTATCGGAATAAATATGCCGTAATAAAATGGTCAAGTTTATTTCTGAAGTCCTATCCATCACCTTATTTTCTTTTATAGTTGTTTGGTGCAACTAAGGTCATCGAACTTGTGTAGAGAAGATTGTGTGTAATTGGGATGGTACATTTCTGATACGATCGCAGCTACAATGACTAGGAGAAGAAGAGCAGGTGAAACAGTGATTTATTCCACAGCTTAATATTTAAAACTTCTAGGGCCTCTTATTATCTCATCACATTTATCTGTGAAGTGCTTTTAATTTTGCATGTTTAATATTAAAAGCCATTTTGTAATATCTGGATGTGGGTGAAGGTCTGTCTGTGCTCATGTGGATTATCTCCAGCTGTGTGTGTGTGTGATGTGTGTTTATTTTTTATATAATATATATATATATATATATATATATATATATATATATATATATGTGTGTGTGTGTGTGTGTGTGTGTGTGTGTGTGTGTGTGTGTGTGTTTTATACACACACACACACACACACCTGGACGGGATTATCCTCCGCTCTTGCAATATTTGCATTGTATCCACATTTCACTACGTAATTTGCTGTTAGGCTATAAACTTAACTTTGTTACTGTTTGCATCTTAATTTGTACTTGCGATCTATTTAAGATCGGCATTGTTTACTGCGCATGTGACAAATAAGTACTTGAATCGTGACTCTCGAGCGGACATGTTACACTCTGCATGGGGCACGAGTCCATCTCCGGCAGCCGCACACTGGCGTTATGGTTCCAGTTCACCTTCCAGACGTCTTTGAACTGTGGAAGGAACCTGAATGGGGATACCTAGTGCATACCTGGACAGCATCACACACAGAACTGGCAAAATATGGCAAAATGCCTCATGCAGTAACCCTTTGCCCTTTACTTAAAATGCAAGATCGCGATTATTTCTTTCTGATACCACGGCGCTGCCGACTTGATTGACTGGTCGGAAGGGTGTCTATCTATAACACGTAGTGCCAGCCAGGTCAATCACAGAAGTAAATCGATGCACGATCATAATCTTAAATTCTAATTAACATTAGGGCCTACTTAAAATTCCAGAAGTAGAACACAATTTAAAGTGAACGGAAATCAAACAGAAATGTTTCATCATTGACGGAAGAAAGCCTAATTCTACCAATAAATGCGTTTCCGCGCTTGTAAACGTGAAAATAATGCCTTGGTGTAACGTACGTGTAGTAAGCGTAGTTTAAGTGGGTTAGTGTGTGACAGGTCATGAATTATACGTTTTTAAGCCTACGGCTACTGAGGCAAAGAACCACCCGACACGTAACTGTTACCTTAATTTTTTATTTCGGTATTTATCTGCGGCTCTTGCTCCTGTGCCCCCCTCCCCAGCACCGAGGACGACTGCAGGATTAGTTAAGTTTACTGTAATAATCAGTTCAGTTGAGTGCTTTAAATGGCTGAGTACACTAAAGACCCGCGTGTGTGCACAAGTGCCCGGTGATGGGCTGGCACCCTCTGCAGGGTATGCACGCTTCCAGACAGGTTACAGATCGCCATGACAACCGCAGCGATCCCCTGACACAGGTCGCTTCTGTGAACAAAAACACTGTTATTAATGAGCCGGAGCCAAAGGTGAGAAGTAACGAATTTAAATTGCTCTCATTACTGTTACAGAGTAGTTTCTCCGTTCTTCCTATAATATAATATATATTTATTTACATTTTATAAGCTAGTAGTTCTATCAGTTTTTATTCCATGGCGGCTCGGTAGGTAGCACTAAAACCTCGCACAGTCAGGGTTGTGGGTTTAAATCCCGCTTCTGATCTGTGTGCGGAGTCTGCCTGTTCTCCCGGTGTCACGCAGGCTGTCTCCTGCAGTTCAAAGACATTCGCTTAGCCTAATTGGCGTCTTCAAATTGACCGATGTGTGTGCGTGCGTGTGTGTGTGTGTGTGTGTGTGTGTGTGTGTGTGTGTGCGTGCGCGTGCACGGCAGCAGACGGGCGTCATGCCAAAGCTGGACCTCCTGCTCCCTGTGCAGGTTTTAGGCTGCCTCTTGTGACCCTGCTCGGTATAATCGGATGGATGGATGTTTTACCTGATTTCTTTGCCAATAAATAGTTTTATGCCTAATAAAGTAAAGTTTAAGAAAATAAACTTTTCAGTTTCAAAAAGCCTTAATTAGAGGAACCTATGATAGCGTGGTTTACATACATTGCTTTCAGACTCAAGTAACCAATTATCGTTAAATGGTTAAGAAAATGATTGTATTATTTATATAACAGGGCACCATTCCTTTAACATTCTATCAACTTGACAATGAAATGCAATGGCCTGTTGTGGTATTTAAAAAACTACAATTCCCAACAGCCCTGCGTGTTTGTTCTGTCGCCATTTTTGAAGGTGTGATCTGTTGAGTTAAACGTTACATGGTATGTTTCTGGTTATTTATTTAAGTCCCTATGGAACAGAGCAGAGATACCAGCTGTGTATTTTCTGAAAAATGTTAGTGCATGTTAAGGAATGCATACTTCAGCTTTTATATGATGCATATCAGGTAAATTATAATAATTATTTACTTTTAACAATGCAAAACAGATGTCAGTACGTAGCTAAAGCTAAATCCTTTGGCAGGATCTTGGCACTTTAAAAGCCTTTGTACAGAAAATAAATGGGGTAAATGTTAATCATTGTATTGATTAAAGAGTTACTGTACAAAGATGATGATTAATTACGTTGCTGAGAGCAAAGGTTTACCTGCGGAGCGTAAAAAATTGATCTGATCTTTTCTTAGAGGTCTACAGCATTTGGTATACAAAACATAATTTTATTTCATACCCCACTGAACCAGAAATCTAGCTTTTTAAAGTTTAATTAAAGATAGTGCCAGATTCACATCAAATTAATTATAACCATTTTTAAGCATGAATAGCCCAATGGACCAGAGAAACCAATAAAGACTGTTTACTGACCTATAATCCCAATGTACTTAAGGCCAGACCGACTTTTTTTCTGATTCGTTTAGATCATTGCGTAGTCCATTAGCACCACTGATGCCCCCAGGGGTAATTACCATTACTAGGGCAAATGACGGGTGACACCAAAATAGACTGAGTATTCCAACCTTGGTAAAAAAAAAAAAAAAGATTCCTTCCTGCTCAAAGTAATTTATTTACAAAAGGCAACTTCAGAAACAGAAGTGTCACATTGTTGCAGCCATTAATGTAATAACACTCCGTTAACATAATGCATTTCTCAGTTCATAATGTAATAAATGTTGATAATGTAATCCCATTATTAAATGTTGATAATGGCCAATACTGTAATAAATTATTACATTATCAGTAAAAATTATTACGTTATTGGTTCAGAAAAGGAATTACATTATTGGCCAGTGTACACAAAATTCTGGAACAGAGCCGTCACGTTTAACCTAAAAGCCCATTCTTCCCTATGGCTGTCACTGAACCTTTGGCTTCATCCTCAACTCATGTTCCCAGAACAAAACAAGCAGCAGTTTGCCCTGATAATAAACTGACAGAGGCTCCTAGAAAACCATTCTGCACGGATAAGGGCACAGGTTGGCTTGATTGCTGGGAACCCAGAGCAGGGTATCGGGGGAGTCTGCGATTCCAGGCAACGCTGCACATGGTTTAGGGGAGGGTGGGGGGGGCTGATGAGCGGATATGGAGAAATGAAACATAACTGTACTATAATTCACAATAATGTGAAAGATACAGGTTAAATGGGACTCCAAAGTACCTGCAGAAGCAGCCTTTCCTGATAGCAAAGACAACGTCATGTTTCTCTCCTCACTTTTCACAGATTTGATATCCTGGCTCTATTCCCCTTCATATGAACCAGCATCTTCATGGCCGGCCAGCTGACACGCACTGGGACGTTTGCCCAAAATTACCGGTCACGTTAACTACAGCATAGATGGACTTGCTGAGGTAATACGAAGAACCAGATTTTGTTGACGGAAGTTAATCACCAGATACTATTACGGCTATTAAGGTCAATCTGATGCAGGCCATTGATGAAATAGGTCAGGGGTCTCCAACTCCGGTCCTGGAGAGCTTTGATCCAGTAGGTTTTCTATCCTACCCGGCTTCTGACGAGCGACACCTGCTCTCAGGTAAATGCCAGGAACAGCTGTGCCTCATCAGTCACCAGGTAGAATAGAAAACCTGGAGAGTAGCTCTCCAGGACCGGAGTTGGAGACCCCGGTATAGGTCCTATATGTCAACCATACGAGCCAAAAAAAAATGAATGAATTAGCCCTCTTTGAGATTATTCTTCACAATCCTGAGCCAGCGTGTGAAATGTGAGTTCATGGTAAGATATTAGTGGAGAGATGAAAAGCACTATATGAGTGCATCAGTCGCTTAGCCAGAGGTAGGAGAAGGCTAACGATGCTGTTTCTGAATTAAAGGTTGGCTCTGCGGTGCGGCGGCGCGATACAGAGGGCAGCTAATAGCTTTAATCTACAAAGATGACTTCCGCAGACCACCCAAGAAGGCCAGCACGTCAACTTCGGCGAAGTCGGCCACTCTCAGGTACACTGGAACCCAATTTGGCCGGCGTTCAAGACGTAGCTACCTCATTTTCCCCCCAGCGCTAAAGTTAAATGAATGGCCCAGTCGAAATCACAGAGCTCCTCCAGCTCTTAATTTGGCCGAGGTGCCGCGGTAACGGGAGCCTGGCTCACATTACTGATGCACAGCGATGCCGGTCTCCCTCAAGTCATCAGGGCGGCGCTCGGTGATTTCTTATTCTGGCCTGATTCGATCTATACTCGCCAGGTCTGTTTGCAGCCATCCATCGAGCACAATGTCCCGCTTAGAAAAGAGATTTCTCCGGTTCCCGGGCAGACACAGAAAACATGTAAAAATCACTGCCTTCACATTCTGTAGCAGTGTTTTATTTTTATAGCTAAGAAAACTTCCTTGAGGTATAAACGTGAATCCCTGCAAATGTTTATTTTGCAATATATCTTCGCAGTTGAAGCTCAGCAATAATCCCTAGCATTTGGCACGTAGGCTAATGTTAAGATGCATTAAATTAAATTACACTTATTTATCTGTTCCCCAAGTACTTGTTACACTTGTGTTTATTATTCTGTTTTGGTTTTGTTGCTTTATAATTATGTATGTAACACAGTTTAAACAAACAGATTAAAATAAATGCAGCAGCGATTATGATGTATTGGGAAGGTGAGTGACACAGAGGTATCCCATTTTTGCCAAACAGGTTCATAACTCATTTCCGCTAATGCTGCGCTTATTTACCCGCGTGCTTGCAGTCTTCCGCATACATAATTTACCTCCTACATTGTTGCCGCAGAATTTATTAATACGCAATATTTTATACAAAGCTGCAGATTATCCTAGATAATAATTAATCAAAGCCGTAGGATAGCGTTTTCAAGGTTGGGGAGATTATTCATAAAATTAAGAGCAGAGCATATCCAGCGGCAGTTTAATGTATTAAAACTACAAAGCTGAAAAAATGAGAGTATCCACGTATTTCTGAAAATTCGAGTGCTGCGTGTAAAGAAACTGATCCTGGGTCAGTATCTCTCCACACCACTAGGATATTTTTTCCTTCTTTCCCCAGTCCAAATTGTCCAAGTTTCAACATTTTGTATCTCGTAAGTATCTCAAATGATAGATTTTAAAGGTTTTTTAAAACGATTTTTCCCCCCTAAGATGCATTTAAGGAAAAACTCGATTTTTCTATCAAAGCTCGAAGGAACGATATCATTTGCCCGGTTCCCTTTCCGTGTCGTCGAGGTTGCAACACCTTCGTGTGCTCGCTGATTATGATGAATGTTCATGCATTGACACTTGGCCCTCAAACCCAAAAAAAGATAATTATTTTTTATTGCAGAAGACATTCCACTCTCTTTAAGCGTTTCTGGTCAAAGATTACATTCTCTATCCAGCCCGAGGGAGTGAGTAAACCCTTTTGTCTTTCCTAACATTCCCCTAGTTTCCGCCGTTAATATGAAAAGCGTGTCTTTGTTTTTTTTGCCTAAAATGACAGATGTTGTAAATTCACGGGGCAGTGTTGCCAATTAATTACAAGTACATAAAACAGGTTGCCCAAGTGCACTTTATTTCCAAAAATATTCGAAAGTCGTTCGCCATGGGGACAGGCAGTCTTAAATCTTTATTTTTAAAAAAACTTCTCTTATCATCCTGGGAGTTGTCTGATATTTATTTGAAGCAGGTAATAAAAAATGGTACTTGCGTACTGTAGGGTGTTAGCCAAAGGTCCCTGTCAAATGTGTGCTTTGTATTGTCTCAGAAAACATTAATAACCTCCAGCATGAGCATCTCTGGGGCTCGGCTGGGGGTGTGTGCCGCAGAAGGAGGGCTGTTCATCATGTGTGCTGCACGCTAAAGCGTGTATTTTTAGGCTGGATAGCCCTTTGTAGCCAGTGAGTTCCGCGGGTTCGGCGGCAAGGGGAAGGTAAAAACGCAGTGATAGCCAGCTATTTTTCGAAATGCTTCTGAATGTCATGATTGTCAGTAGAAAATCAGATAAAGGCAACTCAGGCGTACGTATTATAAGAGATGCGTTACGATACTGAATAACATGTCTTTATAACTGGAAGTGGAGATTCGAGAGCCTGTGTTTTGATAAATATACATAAACTCCACAGCAATTGAAAAATGTAACTTTTTTCCAGTGCTGAAGGGAATTATTTTTTTGTGGTGGGGGGGGGGGTACCCTCAGATGCATCAGCTCCCTTCCCTGAGGTTCAGTCTTATTTTCCTGCCAATTATTGATTGCATATTTTATATAATGAGTCTGCTCCCTTAACAAAGCAGATCTTAATCTGTGCCTCTTGATCACAGCGGGACACGCCCCCCCCCCCCCCCCCCCCCCCGTGGAGGCCCGGGTTCTGTTCTGGCTGGCATTCCTCACAGCAAAACTGGGCAAATATCAAATTGGGAAATGTCGGACGAAACTCCGCTCACCTGCTTCTTAAAATATGAGCCCGGTGCTGCGAGACGCTGGGGCGCAAATCGACGCGGCCGTGGTGCTGCTTCTGTGCTGCTAGTGCTCAATAAGTCCTTGGACGGCACCGAAGCAGTGGCCTCATTTTAGTAATGCCTGGGGTGTCAGGTGTGTGTGTGTGTGTGTGTGTGCGCGTGTGTGTGTGTGCGCGCGCGCGCGCGCGGTGCTGTTTCTGTAGCCGCGGCCATCTGTTAGTCCCTCTGCCTCCACATTAATTACCACATAACCGTACCCTTCGCTGCCATCTCTCTCGGCTAAATTCGCCCAATTTTCGAGAGGAGCGTCACGTATATGGGACGTTAAGTGTTCCTTTGAGTAAAAAACAAAAAAGGAAAATGGCAGCCCCAGTGTCAGAATGTTGATGAGGAGGCATTTGGCAGGGTCTCGCATCTGTAATTATAAACTCTTTAATATGTGTACAGGAGACACCTGCTCCCCCTCTGACTGGAGCATGGGGGGTTGTCAAAGTGGACATGTGTGTAATATCTTTGTTTTTGAAAGATGCTAGTGTTGTAGGGGTTTGCAGGCAACTGGTTGCTGAACCTGCAAAAACTCCGAATGACCATTATTTTGCACACCTTGAGGGTCGGGCCCAAAGCATTAGGGAGTGGCCATCACCTGTCTTTATAAGGGAGTGGCCATCACC